TGTGTTGATCACACTCTATGAAGACATCAAGTTTAAACAGAGTTACCACTGAGGATAGCAGTTAGAAATCATATATAAATTACCATAGTAGACACTTTTTCTTTGGTATAATGAAGCAAAAGAACCTTGTGTAACAGATTTGATTTATATGCTATATTAAGACCATATTCTGTTCTGATGTCAGTGTGTGCATGATTCCAGATTGACAACTGTGTGCAGACAGTGAGCGTAAGAGCTTCTTAAATAATTTAAGTGAAATAAGCAGTTTTTTAGAGTTAATTATGAGCTCAGGAATTCAACTTTAACAGGACTTAGATGTTTCAAGGGGTCTTTGAAAAAGAAGGGACCTTAAAAAAAAACCACATATATTTGGTATCCAAAATGTAGGAGTCTCACTTACTTTAAGGATGCACATCAACAAAAAGGCAAACAAGGGAGGCGAGAATATTTTCAGAGGAAAGCTAAAAGGCTCAATCAACCCATGAGTTCCACTTTGTATTCATATTTGCAGAATATTAAAACTGAAGCATTCCACCTGAGACTTGGAAGGGAAGGCTCTTTATCACAGTTATAATCTATGGATCAAATAGTTTATTTAGAACTTTGCAGAAAGTTAATTTAGCAAACACACACTTGAATGTGTTTGAACATATCTGTCCTAAGGTTGCTTCAAGATGACTATTTTAAGTGGCATGCAAATTCTTTTGGAGTTTTGATGTTATAGTTGAGGTATGCAAAGTACAAGTGCATAACATTTCTTTCAACTGGTTCTTACACGACAGAAATGAGATGAAATTACTCTTCTTTAAAGTTTTGCCACTGGGAAATGATAAGAAAAACTCCTTTAGACCCTTACTCCCAACTAAGAAGAGTTAGAAGCCCTGGGTTATAGCACAGGTAGATATTAAAATGGAGACAGAGCCGTTATTTAGTAGTGACAGGAATATAAATACATGCACTAACCTATAAACTGGTATTTACTTCAGGAAGGTAAGTAATATTTTTCCCCTGATTGCTGAGCTGTCAGTTTAATGCAGCGTAAATAAACAGTAGGTGCCTGCTAGCTTGAAGTAGGAAGTGTTCATTCCACACGAGGAACAGATTACTGAAGCCTGATGCTCATCATGCTGAAACATAACTTTCATTTTACCAGAAAATATACCCTACCATGGATGATTTTTTTGTGCCTGATCTATTAATTAACTTAACTCTGTTCTGTCAAAATGTAAACCAATTTGTTAAAATCATCAGAGTTTTGGAGTTTGAAAACCAAATCAATTTGAAAAGCAAGGGTAATGGCTGTTGTGTAATCTGATCATGAATGCTAAAAATGAACACAATAAGCATAAACTATTTAACAACAAAAATGACAAAGAATATATTTAAATAACATAGAATTCAATAATATGAATTATCTAATTTGCTCAAAATTCTCCTCCACCAAATAGCACCTTTATTATTTTGTAGCCTGTGTTAACTTTGCACTTTTTCATGTGTATGCTTATTTTGTTTTCTGAAATATCTAAAGGTAAACTATTTTTAAAAATCAAAACATAGTCCCTAATTCTAGCAGAAAAGAATTCTGAATGCTCCTGAGAAAGGCAGCAAGTCTGAAGATCATAAGATGATATGCTTCCTAAAGCAGTCACATAAAATGTGGGTTTTCTCCTATGCTGTAAATGCCATAAAGCTATGATGACATATAGCAATTAATTTTCCCTTATGTTTAGGGACTGAGCAAAACATTTCATGGTATCATTTAAAAGGGGTCACATCTAAAAAGTATAAAACAGAAATTTTAAAATGTTTCTATTAACACACCAATATTCTGATAACTGATCAATAGATTCTAAAGGGAAAGGGGGAGTTCTGAAAAGGAATGTTTTTTCCCATTCAACTACAGATATGTCTAGACACAACCTGGAGTCTCGTTTCATGATCTACACATGTATACATCATCAATTCCAAGTATTAATAAATATTAATTGCCATCATCTGAGACAATGTATGGGAGAAATGATACATTTGCGTAAAGGGCGTATCTAGGTGTGGGCCTTTTGAAAATTTACAAAGCAAATGAAAAACCACTAGCGTGCTTTATAGAGTCCCTACTGTATATCCATGTTGTGTTTAGCTTAATAGTGTTTGTAACCAAAAGATTTTTACAATAATGAGGAACAGGTGCTTGTCACCTGACCTTTTAGGCCTAATTTACAATCCATAAGCTGTCACATTAAAAAAAAAAACCCTGAAATTCTCCTCTAGATATTTCATTTGTTTCTAATTTAATATAGTATTTCTTAACCATCATTCATATATTGTGTCTTATTCAATCACGGGTTCACATAGGTAGCAAGGGACTTCTTTGCAGAAATAAACCAACTTTTTGGTTGTTTTTCTTGTTTAAGATGCTGGGAAACAAAAGAACTACTTTTGTAGATTATCAACCAGAAAATATATTATTTATTACAACAACTGAACAAAAGACATTCCTTTTGAATACTTTTACATACAAAGAACTATTATTTATTACATATTTCAGCTTGTGGGAAAGTGAGGAATGCATTGATTCTGGTAATAACTACTACTCAGACTTTTTGGAAGTTCTTTGGGTCTTCTTCCTCCCTTCCCCCCCCAAACACATTTTAGGGAGCTAGTACTTTAGGAGGAAAATCCCTACTTGTTCTTTTTTGTTTCATCCGTCATTTGTATTCATTATTCAGAACTGAATACAAAATTGAGGAGTGATTTTATTTCTCTTGCATAATCTTGTTACATGTAGTCATATTCAAATTTAACACTGCTTTGTTCTTTAGAGCTACTGTTTACCTATTATATATTACAAATGACTGAAGGACTCTACATTTAAAATATTGTTTCCATTAGAAAAAACATGAAGTAATAAGTGTCAAATGGAGATGAAGAATAAACATATTTGGTATATTTATAAAATGCAGTCATTTAAAATGTGCACAAATAGGACACATATTTTGTTGCTACTACTTGTTACGTTGTATGCATTCTGTCTAAAGTGTATTTTATAACGTGCTTAACCAAGTTAATTAAAGTATTTATGACTGGTGATTGTGTTAAACACTTGGAGAGGTAGTGAAAGATACAGCCAGTTTACTTCTGCTAGCTAAAGTTGAAATTATGCACTTATTATAACCTTTTCTAACAATGTGAAAAAAACAGAGTAAATATATTAAATTTGTTTCACAACAGATGCTTAGGTTGTTAATATTTAAGATGCCTATTCATGCTATTCCTGTCTGCACATTTGTCAAAAATGTAAGCTTGAATGCTAATGTTTGCCAGCAGACTGGAGCAGCCAGTATATGAATGTACTACTGTTCTAGTAAAATAATATGCAATAGAAATATAGGACTGCTGCTAAATCATAGCACTAGTACCACATACGAGATTAGTAAAGGTTTTTAGACCAAACACCTCAGCCTTGGCTTTCTTCAGACTTGAAGTAATAGATTATTTATTTATTGCAGCAATATTTGGTAGAATAAACCTCACATTCTCAGAAAACCCTCTTTAGACTGAGGGTAAATTTCAGTAAAGTTTTGACGGGTGACTTACTTTGTTAGCAGCCCACTGTAAATTTCAGAGTCAGCTTAGGACAAAACCTGACAGGAGCATTCTACTCTGGGAGCATTCTATTCTCTTGGGAAAGGCAAGTCCTCTGGACTCCAAGGATGCAAACATGGAACCCCATGCAGTTGGGGCAGAAAGGATCTCTCCAGGAAACTGGGTGTCTTCCTTTTTTTCCTCTTTTACACCCGCGTGGAGCCCAAGTCTTACATCATGTGCCTAGAAATTCAGACTGTCGCCGAGAAAGTTCTCCAAGAAAGGCCTAGAGATCAAAGTTGCCAGCCGGGGCACTCAGAGATGACCCTGTGGTTGACACTTTGTAAGTAAGCACAGTCTGGCCCTAATGGAGGCCAGAGCTCAAACCTCCAAAGAGCGTTCTACAGGGTTCTCCCCTCTCGCTCTTCAGGGTCACTCCAAAAGCGTACCGCTCACTGCTTTTCCCCAGACGCACGTGTCCCTCTCCTGACCTGCCACCTGCCCTCGTGGTAGTGGCCTAAAACCCGGTTCCGCCGCCCAGGGGGCCTTTGCAGTGGTGAAGCTCCCTAAGAAGGCCGCAGCGCTCAAGTCCGAGCAGCAAAAGGGGAACGCGGGACTAATCCCGAAGCTGCACCTGTGTGGTCCCATCTCCTAAGAGGGCAGCTCTACCTCCGGCCTCCAACCCGACTCTGCACCCGCGTCCGCCCTAGGAGCCCATCTGAGACCGACCTCGGAATAGCAAGCATCAACCCAAACATAGAGTGCTTCAGCAAAACTCTAAGCTCCACCTTGAGCGCTCGAGTGGCTCCCGGGATGGAGAAGTTGTCACAAACTTGCCGGCCCCTCTCCGCTGCCGCTTCCCACCAGCCTGGCTGGCAGGGATCGGAGGAAGGCGGAGATGAGCTGGGAAGGGAGGCCGAGCGGACTCGCGATCGGGTGGGGAAGTCTCCATTCCCCTCAGCCCGCTCCTCTGGGCACCTTGCGCCGGCCCGGCTCGGGGCGCAGAGAACCCCCTTGCCCATCTGCTCTCTTCGGCCCCTTACATTCCTCTTTATCTTCTAAAAGGGACCACAGCGGTGACCCAAAGGAGTTTGTTCAGCGTGGGTCTGTCCGGCAGGTGTGCCAGGGCGTCCCCACCCTGAGAATGAATGGCATCTTCACGTCTCCATCCCGGCCGCTCTCCCTCACTCCACCGACCCACCCTTCCGTGCTCCAAGTGCAAGCGCGAGAGGGGGCGCGGAGACCCCTGCGCCTGGCGCCCACGAGCGGCAAAGGGGAGCCGCTCTGGCAAGGGGCGCCGAGGGTGGGTGCTACCGAGAAGTTTGGATCAATTGCGAAAAAACAAAAAGAGACAGAGACAGGGATAAAAGAGCTTGAGTAGCACAGGCAAAGGGAGGCAAAGGAGCGGAACTCACTCAGGCATGAGCGTTGGGGGCCGCGGTGGTGTCGGAGCGCGGGCCGGAGACCACGCTCGGCTCCCCGAGCTGGCGCGCCGGCGTCGGACTTCCGAGGCGGCGGCTACAGCCTCTTCTGCCGCTGCTGCCGCCGAGCTGCGGCAGCCGCGGAAGTTAATTGCAACTTGACTTCAACTTGTCTTCTTTCCCCATCCGAAGTGGGCGTTTAAAGGGAGAGCGAGACGAGGAGCGAGCGAGCGAGCGAGCGCGCCGGGCCGCGGGAAGGAAGAGGCGAGGGGAGGGAGGAGATGTTAAGGGGAGGGAGGGGGCGGTGGCGGGGGCGGGCGGGGGAAGGGGCCGGCGGGAGCTGCTCTCCGCTCGGCGGTCGCCGCGCCCGCAGTCTGGAGGCGCACCGCAGCGGCCCGGGCGCCCCCCGCGGGAGCCCGCAGCCGCCGGGGCGCGCATCCAGACGCGGCGCCTCGGGCCGGCACGCTGCGCCGGGGGGCTCTGCGGACCCCGCGCCGCCGCGGCCGCCGGTCCGGTAGTGCGGCGAGGACTGGCCGGCGGGGCGGCCCGGGCCCGGCCCGCCTCCCCAGCGCCCGCCCGGCTTCTCCCCCTGGCGGTGGGAGCCTCGGCGGCTGCTGGCCGCTCGAAGCGCACGGGCGCCCGAGCCGAGCCGAGCCCGAGCTGCGCCACCGCTCCGGGGCTTCTTCAGAGAGCGCCGCCGGGGCGGGGGGCCGGCGGTCCGGAGCCGCGAGGGCAGGCGAGGGGCGCGCCTGGGGCGGGCGCGGAAGACCGGACCCTGCGCCGCGAGGGTAAGTGTGGCGCGTGGGAGTGCGCCGGGGGACGCGCGGCGCGGCGCGACGCCCGCTAACCCTGCCCCCTCACCTCTTGGGCCCCCACCACGCGCACCCCTCCTCTTGCCGCCTGCGGCTTCCTCTTGTTGTTCGTTGTTTGGCTTGCCTTTAGGGGGGCAACAATGGGGAGTCTGTCGTGTGTGCCAGCGTAGAAGGAAGTCAGGTGAGAGGCCTCGAGACACCCCCACACATACACCCTAGCCTGCTTGGGGGTGCATTACTCTCCACTAGGGGCATGTGGGCCAATGTTTTTGGGTTTTTTTTTTTTTTTTTTTTTTTTTTTTGCCTTCAGTGTTCCGTTGGAGATGATCTTTTTTCCTAGAGGGCCCGGTTCCCTTCAGCCTGGACTGTTTTCATCCCACGAGCATTCCTTTCAGCCCCCTGCCGAGGAATTCTGCACCCCAGCTGAACTGCACGCAGGGGTAAGGAGGACGAGGGCACCTCCTTTGCAGACCTTGACTCTGTGCCCCAGCCTATTTGGCTCATCTGCATGACAACAGTTGTACTTTTCGACCTACTGAAAGGAGATGCCTACACTAATGTCCAGTTTTACCCCCCAAAAAGCTGGGGGCAAAGAGGGCAAAAGAAAGCCGATATCATTAACAGTGGACTCAGGAAAAAAGGGCCAAGACATCCTTACCAAATGGAGACACTCCAGCGACCCCTGAAAGGTTAGGACTCCAAGCTAAAGAAAAATTGGAACTGATTTTAATCCTATGCGCCCCCGGGCCCACCCCCACTCCCCCATCTCCAGTTCTAAGGGAACTAACAGGTCTTTTGTTTGTATTCTGTCGCTTTGGGGAAATTTGCATTGGTTACAACCAGAAAATTTCTACTCTTCACTCAAAGGGATTGCAGGAAGAGAAACAATTTTTACTTTTCCTCCTTGTGGCTGTTTGGCAAGGAGTGAAGTTGTGAGCTTCATAGCATGAAGCTGCACAAGGTCCGTTTAGGACAATAAAGACTGTGAAGCTGCTTGTGTATATTTTTAGAAAGTGTACTTTCTTGAGTTCCTTTCACACAAGGCTTGCTCTCTCATCAAGACCCATAAATAATTGTATCTAGAGAGAAGGAAATATGGAAACAGGAGAAAGATTGCTAAGATTTCCATCCCGACAGTGCAGAGCATGGTTTGCAGGGAGTTCCTGGAAAGTGAGTGTGGGCTGAGAATTCAGTTTTTCCTAAAAGCTCTATTGGGTCCTCTTCTGTCAGATGTCTATGAATAAAACACACTGGGAAAATCCTGATATCCGTGAAGTCTTATTTTATCTTTTACACGATAGTTGATTCACAATTCAAGTCCTCGAAACAAACATCAACTGTGCTGTATTTTTGTATGGCTTTTCTGAATAAAGGAGAATAGCTGTGTATTTATGCTGCTTTTGACATGCCCTCCCCTCGCATTTCCTTGTTGATAATTAATGTAGACAATTCCAAAGATACAAAAAAATTTCAATTAGTGTTCTTTTAAGAGATACCTTCCCCCACTAAGATACACGTGCACATGTCAACTCCCAGTTCTGTAACGCAAAGTAAAAGCATATAAATCATTGCAGTGGGCAAAACTAAGTCAAACACAAGTGTTCTCTGATCCACTCTGCACCCCTACAGGTCTGAGGAGTCATCACATTCTCCTGCCTTAATTTATTAAGACGCTGAATTGCCTAACCAATACCAGTGTCTCCATCTGAGAAAGACTTCAGATTTAGGGAAAAATACATTCTCAGTCTTTAATTACTGCTTATCATTAATATCTTGAGGTAGGCAATGATTCTCCCGTTCTGAAAGTATGAGATGGTGCTTACCAGAAATTTGAAATTCAGAAAAAAGATTGCTTTTTTTCTCCTTTACATGCTTACATATTTATTTCCCCAAATTATCATCAACTAAACCCCCATAATTTAGTGTGTGATATTTCCCTGGATTAAACCAAGCAAAGGTTGTGCTCCAGACCTTTTGAATTTGCTTCTCCCACCCTCGATGGTCGTACACAGAAAGCTTCTATTAATGTATTAAATATCACAGTTTGGTAAATTTCTGTTTAAGCCTTTCCACCGGCACATAGTAGGGATTCATTAAGTACTTAACCAAATGAAGATGTTTGTGAAATATTGTAGTTGGCCATATATTCAATAGCACAAGGCTAAGGCCTTTTTTTTTTTTTTTTTTTTTTAGAAGTTTAGGGCATCTTGGATAAAAGTTGTTATTTACTATGGCCTGAATGTTGGTGTCCCCACAGAATTCAGTGTTACAATATTAAAAGGTAGAGCCTTCGTGAATGAGATAAACATCCTTATATAAACTCTACAGCTAGCTTTCTTACCCTATTCACTATATAAAGACACAATATGGTGGCATCTATGAAGCAGAGAACAAGATACCAATTCTACTGGCACCTTGGATTTTCCAATCTGTAGAAATGTGACCAGTAAGTTTCTGATGCTTATGAATTACTCAGTTAAGGTATTTTGTTATAGCAGCCAGAATGGACTAAGTAATAACATTTGTGCTACTAGATTTTAAATGTAATTTAAATTGCTAAGTGACAAATCTGAAATACATCAAATAGTCAATAATGGCTAGTATCAAAAGCTACGCTAAGAGAACACATAGAGTGTTGCCTGTTAAGTCTTATAAGATGCCATGAGTGGGATAAAATAGTATTAGCCTTTAGGAGAGCTTATTGAAATGTGCAAAAATAACTCAGTGTGTCAATATAGGGTTTGAAATGAGAAAACAGATTTTTTTTTTCTTTTTAGAGCAGGAATAGAGGTCCTGAAGCTCTAGGTTGGAATGGGTGCCATTGCTTAAGAGAAACAGATTTAATGCAAGATACACAAATATATAAGGATTTATAAGATTGGCTTACAAGCACCTCCCATAGTCAGGTGAGGAAGCATGCAGAGAGACTGTCTGCGCATTGGAGACCCAAAGGATCCAGCTGAAGGCCTGGAAGCACACCGCAGTGTCTCATGGGAGTCAATATTGGGAGGCTGTAGAGTTTGCGCTGGAAGCCAGAAGAGCACATCCAAGACAAAGACTGGAGCTTCATTTCCCTTGTATGCCTTTCAGGCTGTAAGCCAGTATTACTAGTTGGTGTCACTCACACCCAGGGTAGGTTTTCTGTCTTCAATAAATCCTTCAGCCACTAAAAACTATGCTGATTTAATTTAGTTGGGCATTTCTTACTCAAGTTGACACAATCAACCAAAGAGGTAACACAAAAGATATTTTTAAAAGTTATTTTGTGCCAGGGAGATCTTTAGGGCCATTCAATATAGAAATCTTGGGTGAAGGGGAACTTACTACTTACTTGCACTATAGTAGGCCTTTTATTTATGGAGATTTTAACCACAGAATAGAGTTCAGTGTGTAGTTTGTACATGAGTGAATAATTTCCAGAGTAGTTCATTCCATCTTTGTGCACGTCATTACATTTTTTCTTAATGTTTCACAGGCCCAGTCTTCCTGAAATTCCAAGTCTTAGTTCTGACATTTCCATCAAAACAGAATAAATACGTTGTATCCATCAGGATAGGTTTTGTTATGCTGAAGCAACAAATAAGTACCAGTTTTTGGTGGCCTGCAACAGCAAAGTTGTTTTCTTGGTCATGCAATGAGTCCACGGCATATCAGCAGGTCAGTTGCATATCTTTTCAGTCCAAGCCTCAGGCTGTATTTATTGTTTCATGTTCTCTTGCAGAAATAAAGGTCAGTCTGAAAGGTTTCTTGCTGGCATTTAAGTACTTGGGCTAAGCAGAGACATACATCATTTGAACTCACAACTAGTATACCAGGATTAGTTGCAGGCAACCCCTAATCATCATAAGATAGTACAGCCTACCTTGTGCCAAAGTATAGGGTTACAGGGTAAACCCTTGTCCTGTGATGGCTTGCCACATAAACTGTATATTCTGCCAATCCATAGCCCAATTTTTCTATATTCCAGAGTGAACTGCCAAGACGGCCACCAGCCTACAGGGACACATGATGTAACTTCTTTCACCATCTACTATTTTTGAATACAGCACTACAATATTCACTCCCCACAAAAGTTTGTGACCCAGTTAATTTTCAATTACTCATATTTACTAATATTACATACATTTTATTTTCTTGAGAAGCATGTGTTCCTTACAAGGGTACAACAAACAGGAACTTTTAACAACTGTTATCTGAAGACATTACAATCATTATCAAAATTTGAAAGTTGATTTTGAGTAGTTATTTCCCTTATTGTAAACATCAAAAGCTTTATATAGTTTTGTAATACAGAAATTCTTGAGGCACTTGTTTATTCATTTATTGGCTATTTTTGTTTATTTAGTAAATATTCCTTTCATATCTAGATAGCAGACACTGTAAAAGTCTGGACATATGGAGATAAGTCAGAGTTCTCCATAAGGAACAAATTTTGCGGATATGCAGACATAAAAAGTTACCACTGTGCTAATGCTAATAGAAAGGCAGTGTTATGGTTAGGAAGATGCAAATAGCTAGCTGGCAGGAATTAGGAAAGTTCCATAGAGAAACTGCCACTTGAATTAAGTCTTAAGGGTAGGAGAGATTCCGCCAGGCAGAAAGGAAAAGGGTCCAGCATGGACAGAGACACTGAGAATGGCAAAGTATATCGATTAAGGCACTGAAGGGGATTCAGTGAGAGTGGATCACAGGGTCTTCATAAAGGTTCAAACCAAACTCCAAACTGGGAAGGACTTTCAAGACCTTCTGTGTAATTGAGACATTGTTCCACACACCAAGAATTGCGGACTTACATTTACTCTGGCCGGAACATGGGTGTAAGTGAGCAGCGCAGTGTGAGACCATAGGCAGTGCCAGGGACTACCACAATCTGAAAAATGTGTCTGTGTCTATGTGGGACAGTGCCAATAGTGCCAAATATCAGGTCTTCCAGTTTCTAGATAAAAAGTGAAATTTTGGGTTTATGTGAAAAACTGAAATTAAATTTTGACACTTTGCCCACATTTTAAGTATCCTTAAACTTTCAATCAATGGCATGGTTTGTGTAACTTACGTATATATATTTGTAGTGAGGGCCAAACTACAGATACAATTAATAGAATATTTTAATTCAATCTGTGTCACAGCCATGTCCTTACACTGTACGGGAGTTACTGTTCACTGTTTTTTAAAAATTGAGTCCCATTAGTTGCTTGCTTATTCTTTTTAGTCTGCTTTGAAGCCATATTTGCGTGTCATTCAACAGTCAGAGGTGACCCCACGTTTTATAAACGTTAAATATTGGAATTATTAGGTATATTTTCATAAGGCAACTGGAACTACATCTTGTACATTTAGTCTCATGGACACATCCGTATTTTTAAAGCCATTCAATTTACTAGACAGTCAGGTCTTTACATTGTTAACAACTTGGTTCTACAGACCATAATTTTTTATTCAACATTCTTCACTAAAATTGGACTTTTATCGTGTAATTTATGTACAATGAAATTCATCCATTTTATGTGTTCTATGAGTTTTGAATACAAAAGGGCAGAAAGTTATATTTCAAGTGAACTTTAAAGTAAATATGTATAGCCATAACAGCCTTAGGTGTCCAGCTGCCTTGATTCAGATCCTAGTTCAACTAGTTCGTACCTCTGTGACCTAGAGTAAGTCTCCTTATTTCTCCATGCCTCACTTCACTCATCCACGTGGTTGGGTAATAATAGTACCCATCTCCGGAAGTTAGTATATTATATAATGCTTGCACATGAGTTAGTACGCAGTAAAGACTAACAGTTGTTTCTTTTGTTATTGATGTTACAGTTGTCATTATTATTCTAATAAAAAGACATGTAAGATATAAATAAGAGTAGAAAAATGAATGTAATATAAGTTGGTTAGAAGTAAGTGCTTCCTGGATGAGTTGATGGTGCACTGGAGTACACAAGTCAAACGATAATGATTGTCTTTATTTCTGGAATATTTATTTTTTACTTAAAATGTTATAATAAATTATTTTTCTATTAAAACACATATGCAGGGAAATTGAATGTACCATTTTAAACAAAAACAAGTGTCTTTAACGACCTTTTGGCTGCTTGAGAATAGGATGTAGGTGGGTACTGCATTTACTTCCTTCTGCTACTTTCCCACTTTACGCCAAAAATGCATTGCAGTAAGGAAGAAAACTTAGAGAATGAATTTAGAGACACCAAGTCACCATGAAGAAAGGAGCTAAACCTAAATACTCTTCATAGCTAGACTGTGAAGTCCATGGGAGCAAAGATTTTTATTCTTTCCATTGATTATGCTTGCACACTTAAATAGGTGATGCGCAGTGATCTTGCAAGACATTTAATCTTTGTAAGTTACAGTTTGCTCAGCCATAAAATAAATAGATTGCATCAGATCGCAAATTTTAGTGCATTTAGTTTTTAAACAGACTGCTTGTTGAAAATGCAGATTCCTTGCTTCATACCCAGAAGTTCAGGTTTAGTAGAACCAGATGGGATCCACCCATCCAAGTGGATTTGGAAGACAGGTGGTAAAGGGGCAGAAATCCAACTCAAAAAAGAAAGTTTTATTTACTGTTTAACTTTTTGTTCCTCCTTTTTTCCTTCTCCCCACATAAGTTGGAAAAATACTATGTAACTACAAGTTAAAGAATACTTGGATCTAGCTGCTTAACCAATGTCAGCAGTCATTTCTTGGTTCTGTTTCCTTCTGCGCTGACTTGTGTTTTAACTTTATTCTTAGTCTGGGTTACCTTTGAGAACTTCATTCTCTTTGAAGTCTTAAACTTTACTCTTAGTCCGAAGTTTCTCCCAGCTTTCATTCCCCTGACACGGAAACACCAGCACAAGAGCATATCTTTGTTTTTCCAGATCAAGAACGGCACCTTGATTGTGATTGCAGCAGGTGGAGTCACATATCCCTACCTGCACTCATCTCCATGGGCAGCAACCGTGCTTCTGTAACTCAGCAGCTTTGGATCAAATGCCCACCCATGAATTATGGAAAGCCCAATACTCCAAACAGGAAGGCTGGATGTGAATGAGGAGTAGTTTTTCAGGATAAAGTGGGTGAATTTTTCCAGCAACTGGCAAATGGATGCTTGTTAACCAAAACTATAAATCTCCATTTTTTAAAAATATTAAATAAAAATGGCCCAAAATGCAGTTACAAAAATACGGTATGCTGAAATTTTTAGGCCAGTCAGGGTCTAGGAAATTCCTAAAATTGTCATAGTCCCTGATCCAGTTGTCTCATCTGTTTAATGTTTCAGGGCAAATATTAAGCATTTTGTATATATCATGAAGGTGATTAATATGCAGATGATTTGTGCTTTGCCAGTCTATGGATTTTGAGAATCATTCTCAATTTGAGGTCATCTCAAACATACCATAATAACAGTATTCAAGTATCTTCATGAGATAACCTGCAGTCAAAAAGATAACAAAAGCTATAGCTATAGTACAAAGAAATGAGGCAAACAAGCAAACTTGATCATTGGTTTAGTTTTAGTTACTAAATCTTGGCCAGATGTGGTCTATTATATTTAATAGATGCAGCCCCAGCCTGGATATCAGCACACCTGGTTCCTTTCAATGTTGGGGACATAAATGAATACACGTTATGCAGACAGTGAAGAGGGTTACTGTGGGCCACAGTGTAGAACCAAACACTGATTTACTATCAGATATGTTTTAGGTGAATTACAAGTGAATTTATGGGGAAGGTGAATTTTATGAGTGAATCCTTAAGTGATTGTTTTGTTAAGTGAAGCTGCTATCCCTTTCTTAAACTCAGTAGTGAAGTATATCTCCCTCTTCAATTTACTGTAAGCCTTGGGTTAAATTCCAAAGGCTTTTCCATACCTCTCTCACCACCATACTTTCAGCCTCACCAGGGCAACCCAGTGTGCAAAAGAAAGTGCTTTCATCAAATGATGCTAGAAGAAGTAGATATTCGTGGGGTTGGGGCTTGATTCCCTACCTTACACACCATACACACACAAAAAGAATTAGCAGTGGATTATAAAATTAAACAAGCTAAAAACACAAAGCTTTTAGAGGAAAATGTAACATAACTTGGAGACAAACATTTTTAGATAAACCATGGGAAACTATAAATAAAAAGGGGGGGTGCAATTACCAGTTAAAAAGTTATCTAAAGGTGAGCAGGGTGAGAAGTAAAGCCTAGAAATCTATGATTAAATTGTTATTAGTATGAGAAAGATTTGCTTTCTTATGCACTTTATATTTTCAAGCATTGGTTCCTAAGTAGAAGAGGGAAAATACTTTGGGGCTTTTCATGCAATCCAGTATCAAGGATGCAACAAGGCTTCAGGAATAGAAGGATTAGATTACTGTAGGGACCTGGTCAGTCTTTCCATAGCTCATCTTGGTCTTTATTCTTCATGATGGTCTAGTTTCCTCTTAGTTCACATGATGAATCATGGTTGCCAGCTATTCCTGAGCCTGGCTGTACCATTCCAACCACCTGGAGAAAGGACCATTTTTCTGTCTTTCACAGTTTTCAGGAAAGAATCTGATTGACCACTAAGGTCTAGGTCCACTCTCAGTCCAACACTGTGACCAGAGGCAGGACAGTATTTAAAGAAACGTAGTAGTTCCTTTCATGGATGAAGAGGTAGAATGAAAAGAACTTGC